AGAATTGTGTGCTAACTATCTAAATTTCATATATATATATATATATAAAGGAAAATTATATTGCAAAATGATCAAAATACAGTTCTAAGATGGGGAGCATCCAAAAGGTCCCCCTCAAGAAGGAAAAGTAGAGGTGGAGGTGGGGAATTAGAAACAAAAGCAACAGAAGTAGAGAGACCTAATCTAGCAAGCCAGTTGGCTGGCATATTTCCTTCTTTGGAGAAAAAAGAAACTTGAGCCTTGATGGAGGGTTCAATGAAGTTAATCTTTTGCCACCATTGAGAATGATGCCAAGAAGATGGCTCTTCTTAAGCCAACAATTGGAGCAGAAGGAGTAGAATCCACCTCCACCCAAAGGTGCTCCCTATGAAACATTAAAGCAAGCTTGAATGTCCAATACACAACAATAATTTCAACCTCAAGCACATCCAAAGCAAGGACAGAGGCATAGAAGAAGAATAAACAATGCCATGACCGGTTCCTAAAGACCCCACCCACTCTTGCACCCAAATCAGAGAAACTGCCATTAGTATTCACCTTTATGAAAGGATAAGAAAGGGGTTTCCATTGCACTTTGATAACCTTAGGCAAATTAACCTGCTCAGCCATGGGAGTGAAGCAAACGTTGGGGAATCTCTGATGTTTAATGAGCTTGAGTAAGAGATATAGTTTCTAGTCACTTTATTAGATGAAGAACTAATACCCTCGAAATTAGCTTGATTCCTTGCCATCCAAATGAACCAGGAAATAATAAAGGGGATGGGTCCAGCCTTAGATGTTTTCCAGCTTCTCCAACAAGAATGTAGATGAAACCACCATAAATTGATGGTGTTCAAGAGCAGCAGGTTTGTGACTCCCTCCAAACCTCTTGAGAAAAAGAAACATTTGAAAAAGAAGTAGTTGATAGATTCCTCAGCAACCAAACACAGCTAACATCTTGAAGGACCTCTCAGCCCTTTCAGTTTGAGGTATCATCAGTAAGGAGTAGCTTGTGGAAGATCCTCCAACTTAGGAAAGAAATTGAAGGTGATAAATGATTGTTCTAGATAACACATCTCCAAGGCACAATGTCACATCTATAGAGATTGGAATATATACTTTTGGTAATGCTTTGATTAGAGTTAGCTTGCCCAACAATTCTATCTTTTATGGCTTTATCAAACTGCACTTTGGAGATACTCACAGGAGAAGAGTCTGTCAAGAGAATTTGCAGAATAGACATAGATCATTGATCTCCATCCCAACAATCAACCACTTTAAGTTGCGTGTTCTAGTTATTAGTTTTAGCTTGCATCCCTTAGGACACCAATTGTCTAACCAGAAGTGAACATTCCCTCTATCAAGGTCCCATAGGAACAGATCTTCAACCATGTTTCTTATTTTCAGCAAATGAGACCACAATCTGGAATGCCCCAATTTTCTTGAAGACGGAATTGGGGTGGATATCCTTGTCATATTTCCCTTGCATAAATTTATGCCACAGTAAATATTATTCCCTGAATTTGATCCAAATTTTACATAGACCGACTTGCTACTATTTTTGTAGTCCCTTGAATCCAATGCCCCCAGCAAGAGTAGGTTTAGCCATCTTCTACCAACTAGCCAAGTGAAATTGTTGCCTCTGATCAGACCAAAAGAACCTGTTGAATACCCTCTCTATTTGAATTTGAGTGCTCTTCTTCATGGTAGTCATCTGTAGGATGTAGGAAGGGAAGGTTGTGATGATGCTTTTGAGCAAAGTGATTCTACCTCCATTAGAAAGGAATGAATGTGTACAGCAAGAGAGTTGGTCTGATGTTTTTCCTAAGACCTCCTCAAACTGGATAAGCTTGGACCTACCTTTGATGAGGGGAAACCCAAGATACTTGAGAGGAATTGGGGATTCAGAGAAGCCAGTTAATTGGAGAATCCAATCCTTAATGCTGAAAAATGATCTGTTTGTTGAACAACAGATTACATTTTCATGGTTTAAAGTACATATTCGAATGCTACTGAAAAATTTGTACACTTGTAAACTTTTTTAACTGCATTTTTGTTAGCTCTAGAGAATAACATTATATCATCAGCTTAAACCATATGAGAGATTGCCAAGTTAGATTTATGATGGTATCTGGAATAAAAGTTGGAGAGTAGACTTTGATCCAACATTCTAGACAAATAATCTAGAGCAAGAATGAGAATAGTGGGTGATAGAGGATCCCCTTGTTGCTCCGACCACATGTTAAAATATCTAAAAGGAGGAGGGGAGGGGGGGGCAGCAATGGGATGAGGAGGGGTCTGTGATCATAACCAGCTAAACTCAAATGAGTAACTAAAGTATGGAGGAATTATTGAAACCATATATCATTTACCAGGAATCTATCAAGCCTTTCCCAAAATTTTCCTCTCTTCCAAGTGAAGGTAGAACCCAAGAAGCCCAAATCAAAAAGGTCAGTCATCTGTATATTATCACAGAAAGAAGTGATCCTTGAAAGATTAGGAGCTCTTCCAACTAGTCTTTTCAGCTGAAAAGGCAATGCAATTGAAATCTCCTCCCACCAGCCAGTTGGAAGACATATTAGAACTGATTAAATGGAGGGCATACCATAGCTCTACTCTATCAGCCATTTTGCAACCAGCATATACAAAAGTCACAAAACCAGAGTTACCATTCATAAGGAATGAGAGATGAACAAATTGGGTGTTATCAATTAAAACTGTCCAATTGATTTCTTTTTTGCAAAAAAATCCAAATTTTGTTATTGATATTAGAAAAATAAGTACAACTAGTAAACTTTCTAATCAGTTTATGGGGGTATTTGTGAATCATAGGTCCCAAAATTGCAATGCACCAAAGTTTATGTTTCCTATTTAGAGTAAGTAATCTTTTGATAGAAAGAGGATGTGCAATTCCCCTAATATTCCAACACAAAAAGTTAACCATGAGGAGAAGGTTGAGATCTAGATCTTACCCTCCTTCTAGTTCTAGAGGGAGAGCCCCCTAGAGGGGCTAGCAACCAAAGATGAATGATCATTCTTTAATCTATGTAGTTTTGAATTGGTCTTTTTCTTTGCTTTTTGTATTTGCCAATCATTCTTCAATGCTTGATTCATCTCAATTAGTAATCCAGGGGTTGGTGCCACTGGTTCAGTAATTGTGAGAGTTGGAGTGCAAGCTGCCCCCAAAGGAATACCCACTTCGAGAGGTTGGACAAGATACCCCCACATGAATACCCACTTCCACAGGTGTATTGACTAATAGAGCAGGCTCATACTGAACATTAAGAGGAGGAAATAGTTGTTCCACAGAGGGAACAGAATCCACCCCTTCTATTCTCCTATTCTCTGAAGTTTCAATAGCAACAGAGATAGTTACAAGCTCTAAGGTAGGGCTTACAGGTTTTTTTCTTAAATGGAGGATGGATTCTATAACATCTATTCTCTGTATGACCAAACATTCTGCAGTGGGGACAATAATAAGGCCTTTGCTCCATCACAATTTTTTGCCAAATCCCCTCTTCAGTTGTGCCTAACCAGATCTCCTCTAATTCAAGTACCAAAATTCTAGCCACATATGGTCTATAGAAATTGAAAGTGGGAACATCCATTTTCAGTGGGCTTCCCAGCGCAAGGTCAATGTTAAATAGGGCTTTGTGATTGAAAAAAATATAATGGTAAACCAGGCAGCTTAAACCAAATAGAAACAATTGGAGGTTCCTTGCTGGGGTCAAACTGAGGGGTCCACTTAAGAATCTTCATTGCATCCCCTTCCATTTAAACAACCCGTTCAGCAAACAACCTTGCACAATCCTCCTTAAGAGATAGTTTAATCATAATATGTCGGCCATCAACAAGGCGCACCTTCCAAGCCCCTGTGAAAGGAAATCCCTCAAAAAATTTCCTCACAATCTCAATCTTGGGCTGACCAAGTTGGAACTTCCCAATAATAATGAATTTGAAATCAGCAATAAGTGTGTTAAGGTCCTCCTCGTAGAAAATAGCAGGTTTACCATCTTTAACATTCAAAGGGTGAATGAGGGAACAAGTTTTTTTACTCAATGTCGCATCATGAAAGGCATGAGGGAAACCAATCGGCCAACATTCTGAATGGTGTCATGTCCTTTGCCCACCACACCCGCATAGGTGGCTTTGGTCCATCGTGCAGTCGTGACTACATCAATAGGAGTATGGTCCACCATAATAAGGAGTAGACAAAAATTAACAAAAGCGACAAGAAAAATCGCCCCCGCTGAAGCTCGAATGGAACACCAGGCAATGGAACTGTAACTAAGCAATGGAACAGTAACCGCGCCCTTTTGAAATAGAAGAGCCCGGGAAGTAGGCAAGCACAAACCAAATCAAAAACTCAAAGAAAGGGCCACCATAAAAATACCAAAAGAGCTTCTCCACCACTAGCCACCAAGCACAGCCGCTTCAAGGAGCCATCTTCCCAGGAGAAACCCTAGCAGAGCACCTACATCTGCCGCCACCATTGGAAAAATTATATATGTATATATATATCTCAAATAATTGGGGCATTTGTATACATACCATCCAATTCATACATTTATAACACCCAAATCTTTAATATCACATCCAAAAAATCAATATTTTAACTTCTATAAAGTGAATCCAAAAATTTAATATTTTAATTTTTAAAAAGTGAAATATACCTTTCATGCATAAATAATAGTATAAGCAAAACTTGAAATTTGTGTTAGATAGGTAATGACATCGGAATTAAGTGATGTGTACATCTTTCATTATATATATATATATTATATATATATATATTATTTGGTGAATTTATTTGGGCTAACAATTTATTAAAAAAATTATCAGAACAGTAATAAGTAACGGTAGGCCAAGTAGCCATAGAGAAAAGGAAAAAAAATAAAACTAAAAAAAAATTAAAAAAAGAAACCTGCCGTTATGCTGCTCGATAGTTATTTGGGTCCAGAGTTTCATCGCAAAAATATATAAAACACGAAATAACAAATTGAAGAACCTAAACCAATAGCTGCAAATCTTAGTTCAACACAAACAAATAGAATTTCATTTCATTTCCATCACTTCAATCCAAAGAAACCTGAAATGTTTTACTGGAAAAAAAATATTGCAAAAAACACGTATCACAGTAACAGAGCAAGCCATTCATAATCACAGGAGTATGAAATTGATTCCACGGGGACAAAGACTTGCCAGTGAGAGATCATGCTTAGCTTGAAAATAGTTAGATTGGCTTAGCCTGAAAGAATCATTCTCAACAGTTTTGAAAAGTCAGCCTTGTCATTCTGTAGATCATTCAACATGTAAAAAGCTGGACTCTATTTTTGCCATTTACACCATGAACTATAGCTGAGTTTCGCCATTGAAATTAAGAGATTCCATGCTTTTGATGGCAGACTCGTAGGTCTTCAAATTTGATGAATTTTTTACTGAGGATGATCGCTTCTGCTTCTGCTTCTGCTCTGTTGAACCAAGCGGAGGGCTTCTTTCAGGGCCGCATTGCCCTGAAGGACTGGCATCAGTAGCACGACTGTTGGAGACAGCAGCACGCCTCGAGGATCCGCTTGATCGTCCCCAAAAGGTTGAACGTGATATCTTAAGAGAAGCTCAGTTAAATTCATGAAACAGCAGTTCATCAATGAAACAAAAAATTTTGCATTTCATAGTCTGGATTGAGGTTTGTTTTATAAATAATTCTCCATATGTATAAGAATAAGCATCAGATGTAAAGGATTTATGAGAATACTGGATCCCAAACAGTAGTGAACAAAAATGATTGATCGTGAAATTTGAAATATTATGTTATTTAATATTCAGTGTTATTTTATGACAGACAATTTGATAATTTAATTACATCTTCCATTGTCTTAAGTTATATTTTATAAATAGCAGAGGGTCGCTCATCATATGCTTTTAGAAAGCAAATAGGCTTGCAAACCTTCAACTCTGCGACAGAAGCAATAAAACAATAAAGCAAGTAAGCATAGGAGTCGTTTGGGATTTGTGTTTCCATAAATTGATCTTTTCTTTGGGTTTATATTTAAATTAGATTTCGCCTATTTACTAATTACTAACATGTAATATCACTCTCCCACCTTAAAAATATAATAAAGCAAGTAAGCATAGGAGTCGTTTAGGAAGGCTTTATGTTTTTCTTTTAGTTTTTTTATGTTTGTTATATTTTATTCAAGTATTGAGAGAAAATAAAACATGTTCGATATCTTTAATGTAGATTGTTTTTGTTTTTAGTAAATATCAAATAAGATAATTTATGCAGTGGTGACGAGAATCAACTTGGGCGGTGGTGTGGCAATTGCTGGCAATGGTAGTGTTTACCCATAGAGTGGCGCCAAGAATGAATGAATGGTAGTGGTTGCAGGATAGCTCGCAGTACAGTTCCCATCGACTCTAATGATGACTAGCACATGTGATACTGAATGTTTTTAGACATTCAAAACACTTCAAAATATTTTTTAGTACTTTTAAAAATAATTTAATATATTTTGAAAAATAAAAAATAAAATGGTTAAAACGTAGTAAGCAAACATATTTTTTTAGAACCAATAAAAAAACTTAAAGCCAAACGGGCAATTAATAATATAATTCTCACACCGAATCCAAATAGCAATACATGACTAAAACCAATTAAACGAGTAATATGATGAAACCAAGCACTTCAGATTATAAAATCACTCTACTACCAATATATAGGCGGTTCACTCTACTACTATGGTACATTATAAGCTTGTTATGAAGAAATGTTCAACTAATAAGATTTTTAGTTCTAGGTACACAACTGTTCAGAACGCTGATAATTATGACAAACAATTAGAAAGTTTACCACAGCTTCTTTAGTTCCATTGGATTCATCTTGTAGAGGACTCTTCAGCTTAGATCCTGATGCTCTTTGCCAAGAAGAACCCATACCTGCTTCAGCTCCTACATAATATAGACCAAAAAACTAGTACATTTTTTAGAAAATATAACAAATAAATTTCAAATTAAACCAAAGAAAAAACAATATTGTTTTTTGCCATATTAATTTGACGAGGAAAGTACAAAAACTAGGACTAAATCGCAAATCTGATGAGAATTTCACAATGAAATTACTTATGTGCTTACCAGCATTGCCAATGGCTGGAGGCAATCCTGATATAGGCTCAGCACCTGGTTGCCCCTGTATAGAAATGAAAAATAAATCATTCTAAACAGAAGTAAAAGTTGAAAAAAGAAGTATACCTTTTATAACTTACTAGAGCTCTAGGAGGAGCACTTCGAGTGTCCAGTGTTTTATACTTCAAAATTGTCCAATCAAAAATATAATCAAACTGAAAACCTGGAAAACAAGTATAACAGTTACCTTATGATAAATCTTGTGCAAATTCTCATCTCAAAAAGAAATATATATTCCACATCTCAACAAAATTGGAGTACTTCATCCATCAACTGCTATACTGAAAGGGTTAACATACCCTCACTGATGAAAAGATCACGAAAAATTCTTTTGAGATAAGAATAATCAGGTTTGTCTTCAAAACGCAGCGAACGACAGTAGTGAAAGTATGAAGCAAATTCTGAAGGATATCCCCGACATAAAGCCTAGACAAAAAATATCACTGATATGCAACAAAAAGAAGAATTGATTCAGTTCATCCTTTTCTATACGAAAGAAAAAGCTTGCCTCGATTGATGTGGAAACTTTTTTTTCACTAATTCTTTCATACTTCTGTTTCTTCGTTCCTGCCTTTAAACCTTGCCATGGAAGACTAAAGAGAATGGAGCGTTTAAGCATCAACTAAAGAAAAACACAGAAAACAAAATCCAAAAATAAGTGCCCCACCTTCCCCTCAAGAAGTACATAAGAACATATCCAAGAGATTCCAGATCATCCCTCCGGCTTTGTTCTACTAACACAACATGTGCACCAAATCAAACCAAGAATCGGTGTACTAAACCCAATAGAAGGGTGACAAAGAAAGAAACAAGCTCTACTTAAGCTGTAAAATTGGCAATAAAATTCGCAGAAGATACCTATGCCTAGATGAGTATTCATACTGGCATATCTTGCCGTGCCGGTCAAATTCTTATTGTCTCTGCAATTTATAAGAGAATGAAATTATGATTATCATACAAGTCCTATGCCGGTACATATGAAAAAGAAAAAGGTGACTTGAGAAGCAAATAATAGAGTTGAGTACACTCCTAAGGTACGAAACCTCATTTTAAAAACTCCCAATTATATCTGCACCATCTAAAACATATTTCATGAAGCCAATTCTGTTGACAAAGCCATTAATAGAGAACAAAATGTCGAGAATATCATTTTCCTCTCTCTCAGGTTGCTCTTACTAGGAACTCATGAAAGAGTCGATGAGGTCATGAGCAAAGCATGAATTCGAATTACATTGTGGTTCAATCATACAAAAAAGTAAAGGGAAGAAACAATTGTGCAAATTCAAAGAGATCTAGATCCTTCTACTACATTCCTCAATCTCAACCCACTCGAAATCATTAAACTTCGATGAGAATTGGCACTCCTTACGAGCCTTCGACTCGTTCATTTTGATACTAGTCATCTTTCCTTTCCTGCTGCTTCATCATGATCACTTGCAATGCTAACTTTCCTCGGGCACAATACCCATTTTTTTCCTCCAGATTTAATGGGTCTCCTCATTTAAGTCACCAGTAACAAGGGCCATCTCTCCATAAATGGAAATGAAGAAGTTGGACCAATTAATTTTCTTAGAAAAAAAAAAGTTAAGGGCATTTGTGTTTTAAAATGATTACCAAATTCCAGCCATTTCATTCATTATGTGAACAAACTAACAAAAAGATTAGTTAATTAAATAAAGAACTATAAGAAAATTGGAACATCATTGTAGGGGTCACTCTGAAACCTCAAAAGTTATGTAGATAAACTTCAAAAAGAAGAAGAAGAAAATGTTGATGATGGAAGAGTTTATGAACTTGATTAGAACTCATTTCAAACAATTAAATTTTTTCAAAACCGAGACTATCTCGTGGGGGTGAATCCACATCATCAATTTAGGGTATCGAGAGTTCATAAGCTCAACCTTATCCTTCACGGAAAAGAGGATATTACAGTGGATCAAATTCAAAACATCCAGATTATAGTGGAAGAAATACAACCATTGCTCCAGGACACAACAGAAGACTTGACAAATCTACTAAAGACTACAACGTGTTGATGCCTTTATTAAATAATCAGCATACAACATGTATTTGATGCCTCATCAAATATTAAAAACTCCATAATTAGCTTCTGGAGAATGCGCAGTAAACCAAAGAGAGTTCATATAGAATCCCGTCTCTCTGTCACCTAAGAACAAAGGATTCAAAAACATCTTGCCATCATTACTAGGCATGGTAATATGATTGGGAACCTGGAGAGGTGGGGGAACTAGGAGCGGTGCGACAAGTCCAACCCCATTTGAAGCCGACTGGTCCAGCCAACCCATGTCTTGGTTGGTCCAGCTGGCCTCTGCCGCATCCGCATCAGCCTCTCGGATTTGGGGGACTTCGACCTCATTTGTCGAAGCTTCTGATTCCCCGTCCTCAATCCTAGCAGTAATTGGATCTCTCTGTTGATTGCACTGCCTCCCAAAGCATTGAAGAAGTTTTCTCCACTTGCAAGCACACAACCATATCGATCTGCTCTCTTGGGATTGCGTGCCACACACGTACTATTGAATCTTCCCAAAGTAACCAATGGTCGGCTCAATCTAATCCGAAGTTAAAGTAACATGAACCTCCTCAAACAGTGGCAGCCCTGATGGTAAGGTAGTGATTGTGATGTCCTGTAAAGCCCTCCAAGGATCTGGCCTTTCAGTAATATCGCCTCTATTGTCACCAAAATTGGTCCTAACAAGGCTGCTCTACTGGTGAGGGCTCCTGTGATCTCAGGCTCCACTGAAGTAAGTAGGATGATGTGCTTCCCATCCTTAATGAAGAAACACGCATTTCTAAATCCTTCATATTGAGACTTTCGATCAAACTTTGACGGTCTTCCAAATAAAAGATGACAGACATCCATAGAGACCACGTTGCACTACACCTCGTCCTGCAGCTGGGCCCCAATCGAAAAGTCTACAAAGCATCTCCGATCGATGCTGATTGAATCACTTTCTTTAGCCACATTAGTGAATACGACTAGGAATGCCTCCGAGTCATGAGGACCAATTTATCAACCATTTATGTAGACGTCATGTTCTTACTGCTTACTTCATCGATGATGTGGCTACATACATTCTCGTTCACGATACACCGGGTGTAGAATATATTGTGATAAAACCACTGTGAATCCCTCGTATCAATATCGATTTGTGGGACCAATCGAACTATGAGCGCTTCTCCTTCATCTGGTAGAAGTTGATACACCTCATCTTGATCCTTAATTGTCTCCACATTGCTAACTTCCTCGACGACGCCCTAATGTGTGAAGGAGACTAATCGGCTCGTGGAATAGTTGGAGGCTATGTGGTCGTTGTCGTGGCACCTGAAACACTTTCTGACAGGTACTGTATTGGAGGAGTTACCTTTTTCATGTTTCTTATCACTCTTATCCGACTTGTCACTTATTTGTCTGGGCTTGCTAGTTCCTCCCAAGATACCTTTGTCAGCGTGGTGATTGTAGGTGATTGCTTGACTAAATGCCGCTAACTGAAGGGAGATTGCTACATATTATCTTCCTATTGTCTTTCCACCTTTAAGGCTAAAGTTTGAACATCTCTAAGTGATGAATAAGGATGCAACTGCATCACATTGCTAATAGCTGGCTTCAGGCCTCGCATATAACGGACAATGGCATGCTCCTCTAGCTCGAACAAATCACATCACATCTACAACTGATCAAACTGTTTCGTGAACTCTACTGACAGATTTTTTAGATGGTAGAACCTCAGAAACATATTCTAGCGGTAATGGGGGAAGATATTTCCTTTGCATCGTTTTCTTCATGTTGTCCCATCTGGCAATCTTATCGTTGTATTCTCTTTTCCTCTGTCTCAGTAAGTTCTCCCATCACAAAGAGGGACTTTTTTTCAACTTGATAGCAGCTAATTCAACCTTTATCCTCTGACACATCCTTATACTCGAAGACTGTTGCAGTCAATTAATAAAGTCTTCTGGAACCATAACTCCACTTTGATGTCAAAGTCTCTGTGCCCTACAAATGATACCTCCTATTTGAAATTCTCTCTATGGAAGGGATTCAGATACGCCTCTCCAGGACTTCTCTGATGAGGGATTCTGAAATGTCATGGTCTGTCTTCTTCATTGTTGAAATTCTCCCTATGAAAGAGATTCAAATCCTCATCTCTTTCTCCCCTTCAACTCACCAAATCTATGTTGAGGGTAATCTCCCCTGGAGTAATCTCATCAACCTCCGCAGGTCTCAGTTGATGGCGACAGAGCTCTAGCCGTATCTCTTCCTAGATAGGCTCGAACATATATCTTCTTGGCAGCATGATTAGGGTTTTGGGATTTGTGAAAGTGAAAAAGTATTGTGGTAGGAAAAAAAAATTCTGGTTTATGACAGATGCTTGAAAACTCTAAGATAGGGCTAGATTTAAGCTAGCTCCAAAACCAAACGATACCGAAACTAATTCAAAAATCAGCAAACGAAAACAAACTTTTATTAGCATTGAATTAGGGTTACAACACGGCACCAACTGGGAAGGAAACTACGACACAACAACAACACTCTACGGCTTGGGCCAAAAGAGAAGACCAGAGGGCGGTGGTGGCGTCGATGAGATGATTACGTAGTAGTGGTAGGGGTTAGGTGGAGTAGGCAGGGATGGTGAGGATATAGTCAATGAATGAGAGGGGGACGAAATAAAGGGTTGTTGGTGGGGCTTGGGAGAGGGTGGACAAGTAGGAGTGCAGGAACAGGTCAGTAGGTTGTTGGTTGGGAGGGCTGGACATCGATGATTGTTGCAGGGGAAGAGAGGGTTGGTAGGTTGCCTGAAGGGCTGGGCAGTAAAGGCTGCTGCAGGGAAGGGGATGATGGCATGTTGGGAGGTGACCAGAAGGATTGGGCAACGAGGGTTGCTGCAAGGAAGGGGATGACGACGCGCTAGGAGGTGACCAGAAGGGTTGGGCAAAAAAGCAACGACAGAAAAAGGGGGGGCGGCAGAACAACGGGGAGGATATGGGGAGACCGGCTAGGGTAGGTGAGGGAGAAGGGGTAAATGGGGAAATAAAAGAGGATATATTACCACCTCGGAGAAGGAATCAACCGACCAGTCCTGCCCCATTGGAAGTCAACCAGTCAAGTCGGCCCTTGTCTTGGCTGGTTCAACCGACTCCTGCCAGCACCCGCGTAAGCTATCTTATTGTTCAGAGCAAAACAAAGCATAATCCTTAAAAAACAAGCACGTACTTCTTAAATCCTAAGCTTTAGCTTTATTTGTTTTACTTTCTCTATTAAAGTTAAAGATAAAAAAATATTTTTAATTAAAAAGTACAACAAATTTAAATATATGTGGGAGAATTGGGTTTAATATAAGGATAAAAATATGTTAATGTGGTGATAACAAACAATTGACCCTCATCCATCTTAAGCTTTTGGATTGAAAAGTAATTTAACAACTGATATATTAAGATAAAGTATGACTCAATTTTGGCTCATACTTCCTAATAAGTGATATCAAAACTAATGATTCATCTAGGATCAATCAATTCATTCAACTTGTCGTTTCAATAATTCTTGGTCGGCTTCAAACATATTTAAGGTGACATACATTAATCACCACATGGTTGATTCTTGGTGTATGATACTTAATAATGATGACAATAACTTCTGTTTTAGGGTGAGCGATGCATGATCTAGAGGGTCCACACATAAACGTTGTTAAGACGTGTAAAATTATTTTGCTAATGAAAAATATTCAAGCACTTGACCCTCACCCGATGCTTAAACTTCTGGATTTAAAAAATTTCAATGATATTGACATGTCATCAACAAATTGTCATCACTAGGCACGAATTTCAATGCAATATGAGTAAGAAACATTCCAATTTTAAGTTTAAGATCATCCAAGCCCCGATTTCACAAGTTTATAACCAAACT